GAATGTGACAAGAAACTGCAGTCTGAAAAGATATATATATATACACACAAGCACACACACAGTGTGTGAAAAGAAGTCTCTAATGCTCACCAAGGCTGGTTTTCTTTCATCAAGAACTGTGTTCTATTGTAATATATTTTAAAATATATTATAAATATTATTTATATATTTTAAAGCTGAATCATGCTAATGCTGATTTGCTGCTCATAATGCATTACTGATTTTATCATGTTTATTTAAAACAGTTGCTGCTTAATATTTTTATGGAAACCATGACCATTTTTTCAGAATTCTTTGATGAATAGAAATGTCAGAATAATAGCATATAAAAAGAACAGCATTTATTTTAAATAGATTTTTTGTATAACATTATGACTGTCATATTGAATAAAATTATTAGTATTTATTTATTTTTTCTGCCCCCAAACTTTTGAACGATAATGCATATTTTGTAGTATTGTATATTATTGGCAGGACAATAAATGTATACCAATAAATGTTTACCAATAAATGACACCCATAAATGTCAGTGCTGGTTAAAGTACTGTATATGACATGAAAACACATATTTGCACAAAAATACACACAGACCCCCCCACCAGCACAGCATCTTTGAGTACTAACATACAGGATAGAGTTACAGCATGGAGTCTCTTAAGGGAGCATGGAGACAGGATGGGGAGACAGGGAGTGTGAGCACACATAGGGGTGTCTGCTCCTCCTTGTGATATCTACCATATGTGTGTTACTCATCACCTGATAGAGTACACACAAGCACACACACATGCATACGTACACACACATACACACACACACACACACACACACACAGAGAGAGAGAGAGAGAGAGAAAAGTTACTGAAAGTGTAGATAATCAATTAATTTCCAGGCAATATTTTGACTCATAACTTTAAATAACTAGCCTAAGGCCTAATCTCTGGTGTGAAGATATCAGTGCAGGTTTTTGGAAGCCTTTGGCACTGATGAATTGCTTTATTCAGGAGTCTTCTTCTGTTTATCACTTCTCTTATCTGGCACAGACAGACATGATGTCAGAGTCCAGGAGCTGCCATGCTGTGACAACTCAAGCAACCAGTGTCAAGCTGAAGATTGAGACAGTCATGCTTTTAGAAAGAGCTTTTGAGCTCTGCTCTTCATGATGGGGATTCATATTCAGTTCAAAGTCAGATGCGTTACATACAGCTGAAAGGACAGACCGTCTCAGCCGTTAACATTCTCCATTGTAGACTGTGGATGTTCCACTAAAAACAACATTCTTGTGAAACCGAGAGAGTTTAAAAAGCAATACTAACACCAAAGAATCTGAAATCAAAGCAAGGTTTTCAGCTTGTGAATATATTTTTACTGTCAGAGACAGTTTTAACACCAAAAAACCTCAAAGAATCTGAAAACAAAAGATAGGTTTTAAATGTGTGGCTTTTACAGTTTTTACAGTTTTCAAAACTTTACACACAAATCCAAGAATTGCACACACAAAATGCAAAATGCCTCACATCTCTTGCAAAATGAAGCACTGCATTCAAAATATCACAAACACATCTAAAAAGCAAACATTTAAAAACACCTTTGCCATAATATTACAGTTTTTCTGAATTGCTAAAACACATTTCTTGAAACCATCACTCATTTTCTCAAAACCTTAAACACAAATCCAAACACTCAAACTAAATTTACGAAACCTCTGACTCTTCCATCAAAATCAAACAATCACTGCAAAACCATTTCACCTGTACTCAAAATGAAACGGTGCTCTCAGATCACACACACAAGAGTCAATAAAATAAACACTACAGAGCATTCATTAGACACTACAGAGAAAAATGGAGAACACTGCATCCAGAATGTTACAGAAAAAGTATATTGTATTGAGTAAACAAATTTGCAATTTTGTAAAAAAGTATAGTAATTGCAACTGAGTAAGGTGAATATATTGTATAGGTATACTGTATGTACTGCAAGAATAATATTGTGCTGACTATTGAATAGTACTGAATGTTTGTATATATTTATAACTGCAAAGGTCAAATAAAAGTCTAAATGAATAGCATGTTACAGTACACTCAAATACTGTAAGTTTTGCAATTGTAAAATCAGGGTCAATGAGAGATTTATTCTGTCTCAGCATCATGTCTTTGTGCTTGAGTCCGGCCTGAGGACTTTGTTCACATTACAAGTAATGTTGTATTTTTTGCTATAAAAAACCCTCTGGTCTGACAGATCCAGCCTTGATAACACTCTCTAAACCTTACTTTTTCTCTCCTCATCCTCCACTTCTTACATGTACTCTTCCTCCTCTCCTTCTCAGATTGTTTCCATCTATTGTTCGTATCATCATTCAGTCACCTGTGCCACTTGTGCACTCTGAGCTGGCTCATATTTTGTACAGTTGGTTTGATCACATCATTAGAAACAAGTGTGAACAATTTTGAATCGTTGTGTGTAAACGATGACAACTGTGCTTTAGTTGTGTTTAACTTTTGCCGCTTGTGTTTAGCATTTTGCAGCACAAATGCATCACAGTGTGATAAGTGTTTAAGTGAATGAGAATGTGTTTAGAGTTTTGCAAAAAGAATGCATGAGATCTGCAAATAGAGCCTAACTGCCTGAACGTGTTTAAGGTTTAGCAGAAAGAGAGCTTTATTCAACAAATTGGTTTAAGCTAATGAGAATTTGGTTCAGAGATTGGGGTTTAGTGTTTTAGCAATTCAGAAAAACTGTAATTCCTGTTAGATTTTTGTGCGTTACAAAGAGAATTGTGTGTTGTGTTTTGCAAAAAGTGCTTTATGAAATTGAAAACTGAGTCAAAGGCCGAAAATTAGCGTATGGTTTTGCAGATTTGGTGTGTGGTTCTGGTGTTTGAGTGTCAGGTTTCAGAAACTGTGTGACAAGTAAAGATTTTGTGTGTAAGCAGTTGAAAAAAAAACCTGTAAAAAAGTGCACACCTATCATCAGAGCAATATAAACCAAGCCAACGGTAATTCATAAAGATTTTCATGAAATAAAGATTTTTCATTATTATTATTATTATTATTATCATCATTATTCATGTATTGTTTTTTTTTACAGTTATGTGATGCAATGATCTGGTGTTCAGTTTATTGCTAATGCATCAGTTATTCATGTCTGCTACATAGAATTATAGGTAATATTTTACAAAAAGGTTTCATTTGTTAACATTGGTTAACTACATTAGTTAACATCAATGAGCAATACTTCTACAGAATTAATTAATTATAGTAAATGTTAATTTCAACATTTACTAATGTATTCTAAATGCAAAAATACAAAAATGTGTATTTTTTTTAATTAGCTAATGCACCATGAATTAATATGAACAATGATCAATTGTTATTTTATTAACTGATATTAACATAGATTATATATATATATATTAACAAATGAGACTGTCCGGATCATGGACCTGTTTTGTTGTGTTTTGCCCCTGTCTTTGTTCCTGGTTTTCCTTATATGGTCTTTTTCCTGTCCTCGTTTAGTTTAATTATGATTCCTGGCACCTGTGTTTGTTAATTATCCCCAGTATTTAAGTCCTTGCCTTTGCGTTCTGTGTTTGTCGGTTCTACTCGTTATGTTTGTGTGTTTCCTGCCATTTCCAGTGTGGATGTACCCTGTGTTCCGTGGATTAAAGACTGTTTTCGTTTATTCGTGCCTCCTGCGTGCTTCCTAAACAGCGAACTGTGACAGAAGAACCGACCAAAACAGTTACCGCCGTGTCTACCCTCCGTTTTTGTTTTTGTACAGTATTTTGTTTCCGTAGTTCCCCTCATGGATCCCTTCACCCGCCCGAAATTTCTCCTCCTCCATCCACCACCTGCCCCGTGGATGATCTCGTCAGATCCACTCCAGACCCAGCGGCTCCAACTCGGCTCCTAGCTCCCTCACCTCCATCGTCACCCGTCGATCCACCAGCTTGGTCGGGCATCGACCCGCCATCGCCTCAGGACTCTACTCCTCCGGCTGCACCTCGTCGCGCCGTCCCACCGGCTCCTTCCTCCCACCAGCTCCACCTTGGTCCTCAGTCACTCCGGCTCCGCCACGGATCTCCGCCACCAGAGGCCTCGGCTCCACTCTGGCCCCCCGGATCCTCGGCATCCCCCTGGCTCGTTGGCTCTCCGTCTCTGCCTCGGGCTCCTCTGCCACCTGCTCCGCCGCCGTTGGTCGGCCCCCTGGAGGACGCACCTTCCGGGAGGGGGGGCGATATGTCCGGATCATGGACCTGTTGTGTTTTGCCCCTGTCTTTGTTCCTGGTTTTCCTTATGGTCTCTTTCCTGTCCTCGTTTAGCTTAAATATGATTCCTGGCACCTGTGTTTGTTAATTATCCCCAGTATTTAAGTCCTTGCCTTTTGATTTCTGTGTTTGTCGGTTCTACTCGTTATGTTTGTTTCCAGTGTGGATGTTCTGTGGATTAAAGACTTTTTCGTTTATTCGTGCCTCCTGCGTGCTTCTTAAACCGCGAACTGTGACCAAGACCTTATTTTGATAACTTTTATATTATTAATAATAGTATAACAAAGTTGCATAAATTAACATGGGTAGTTTTTATTGAAATTTTTTTTTATAGTGTCTAGCATGTTGTATTTATAATTTAACAACCTATGTTAACCCATTTGTGCCCACATTTTTCTGAATGGTTTCATGCGCATAGTCATGTTAATAGTGTCCTATGTGAACATGTTCTACATTTATTTCCCCCCCTTTTTTTATTTTGTATTTTTTATTAAATTGTATTTGAATGTGTGGCAACTATAGTTGCCGGTGGGCAAATATGTTGTATGCACCACTTCAATGTCAAATTTGAATAGGAGGACTTTTGGCATCTAACTCAAAATAACTGCTTTCAACCGATCAATCTTTATTCATAAATTTATCATGCATAAAAGTCGAACATTTGATGCAAACCCAAAAAAAGTTGCATCTAGCTTATCTCTTGAACATGAAAACACAAATCCATTTGTCTTAAAGTGGTGGAACATAGTGCAGAACAAAGTGCAGCCATTAAGTTGCCCCAACAGGGTATTGTGTATCAAAAAGTTAAATGAAAATAAATAAAAATAGAATGAAGAAAATATTACATCTATATCATAAAAAAGGTATATCTGAAAGAAAATTACGCATTTAACTGTTTGGTTACCAGCATTCTGCAAAATATCATCTTTTGTGCTCAACAGAAGAAAGAATCTCATAGGTTTGCAACTTGGAAGATGACACAATGACACAATTTCCATTTTTGGGTGAACGTTCCCTTACGTAAGCAGTTTTAGTATAAGTAGCCTACAAGGAGTACTGCAGTGAATGTACAAGTAGTTTTATAAATTTACATAAACATATTTGTGTACTATACTTTGTGATGTAAATATGTAAAATATCACACATTTTATGAATAGGCACATATTGATTAGGTCAAATGGATTAAGCCTGACAAAAGTCCTTGATATTCTTTAAATTAATGATATTCTTTTTAATATATATGATTATTTAAATAATTATCATGTGTAGGCTACATCCATGATTGTTTGTTTATTTATTATTGAACATGCAGGTATTTTCATTCTTAGAGGTGTGTTAGTTAAATGAAAATAAATAAATACAAATAGAATGAAGAAAATATTACATCTGTATAATAAAAAAGATATACCTGAAAGAAAATTACGCATTTTTTGAGGCCCATAGTATTAAAATGATTTCATATAATAATGTAAATGTAAACTCATTACTTGTCTGAATTTGTAGATATATGTATGTCAACAAAAAATACTTATTAGTAACATGAAAATTACATTTCTTTGGGAGGGTTTGCCTTCGCCATGCTTCCTGGAAGTAGGGGTAGGAACTTGACAGCCTCATGTGACAGGAAGGAAGTGAATACCCTTTTTTTTTTCTTCTTGAAATCCTTTATTTGGTTGTTTGCTTGCATGTCATTGAGAAATAAAACATGGATAACATCTAGAAAAATACTTACAAAAGGAAAATGACAACTATAAACTGCGGCAACTATAGTGAAAATACAATCAAGAAATTCCAGAGATTCCTGCAGACTCAGTGGTTTAGTTCCCTAGCTGCTTTCTTGCATCTGATTGTGCTTATCCTGCTCTCTGCAGGAGTTTGATTAGCTGGATCAGGTGTGTTTGTGTGGGGATAAAGCCAAAACCTGCAGCCCCCAATTCCCCCCTGCAGAGTACAGACCACCCCTTCTTTGAGAGATAAAGATAATATATTTTCCGACCATATCTTGGTTATTACATCATTCTTGTGATCTCAGACAATAAGTCCACCCATGACAAGAAAGAACAGTTTCTTTTCAGTATCATATTAAAGATTCGTTTTTGACCACTGCATTGTGAATTGCTTCAGTCACCAACTCCAAAAAAAAAAAAGTTTTACTAGCCAAGAATCCTGTTCTGTCCAGCAGAAGTCCTGATTTTTTGACTGACAGACACCTGATGGAATTTATGAGAGCTGAGGGTTTTATGTGAGCTGAGTGAATGATACTGCTTCTTCAGATTTGTATGAGAGCTAAAACTTCGTTTTCATGCTACTTTACAGTGATTTCCAAAAGCTTATTTTACAGCTAGTCTTCCTGAAGCTTCATCTAATGCTGAAAACTGATCATGTTTAAATGTGTAATGTTGAGACAAATTCTCTTCAGTGTATTCGTTATGGGTAGTCATGTTGATATATGAAATCCTTTCATGACGTGTGGAATTTACATGCAAGGATTCCCACAGAAATCTTTATTTTTTTCTGTTATTTTTTCTCTGTTCCCTCAGTGCTGTACAGCTGCTCTGCTCTCTGTCTGCAGGCCAAATCGGCCAGAATGAAGAATGGAGCTGTTAGACGCCTGTGCAAATGAGGACCAGTTGATAAAGTCAGACCCAGAGAAATATGCATTATTATCCTGAGGCATGTCTGTGGTTTTTCTCAGGCAGGAACCTGTAGCACCTTGGGGTGAAGTAAGAAGTGTCATACATACCATGATACATAGCTTAAAAATTTGTTTCTCACCAGCATGCAAGCTAACCTGTCAAATATTAAATTCATTAATATAATGTTAATTTTTGGATGAACTATTGCTGTAAAATAAATGTATATTACAAATGACAGATTTCAACTTCAAATAAATGCTGTTCTTTAAAACTTTATCAAAGTAGCTTAAAAAATGTATCATGGTTTCTTCAAAAACAGCTGCACAAGCAGCAAAACTATTTTCAACATTGATATCCTCGAGCAGCAAATCATCATGATTTCTGAAGGATCACGTGACACTGAAGACTGGAGTAATGATGCTGAAAATTCAGCTTTGCATCACAGGAATAAATGACTAATATGCGAGTATGCATTGAACTGATCGTCAGCTTTTAAGCAGCAGTTTGTGTAAAGCTGTAGTTTGACCTCAGGCAGGCAGGCAGTTGTCACTGGTAATTTGTGACAAGAGACATGGGTTTAGACCTCCGACAGAATAAAACCAAGGCACTCTCTAATTTGCTACTTAGCACAGGCCATCGCAGATGACCCAGAGCATTAAGGTTTCATTTTACACCAGCCTCTTTGATGGCTTTCCTTACGGTAAATGCAGCACAGCAGTGACAGAAAACAGACACGTTCTGTGACCCAGTGGGAAACTGTGCCTTCGTCCTGCGCTTAAAACACAAGAACGCTTTCACAAGATCTTATTATAAGTGCTTTTATTTGTACAAAATCTACATATAGGCAACAGTCAGTTGTTGAGGATTGATTATATATTAGACATACAAATCAAAGTTTTTGCCAAGGTAATTTGTAAGCATTAGTTGAAAGAAAAAAAAAACAGTGCTCCCATAATCTCAAATTATAAAATGCATCTGAAAATCTGACAGATTAGAATATTTCAGATATTAAAATGTAACGTAAATAAAAATGACTCCCCCAATAACATGTAATCACATCTGTGACCAAAAAAACCAGCACTTCGAGCTGTGTAACACACCTCTCTTCACAGATGATGACTGTACAAGTAACTAGAAATTCCCAATGTAACCGGTTAACATCTGACATTTGAGCAAACAAAATGAATCATTTGTAGGAAACGTGCGCCACCTGGTGGTTTGAGATGAAGTAGGTTTACGGTCTTCAATTTCTCATATTAGCAACGAAATAAATACATCAGATGTGTAAAAGAGACACTCTTACATCATTTTAACATCACATCTATGTTTGTGATTCCAATGTTAACACACAAGAAATATGTTTTTTTTAGCTATGTAGTTTATAAAGATCTGAAGAAAGTATTCAGATATATATATATATATATTTATTTATTTTTACAAAAAAAGAAAAAAAAGTGTGAAAAATTGTACAGCTTGTCACTGGAGAAATATCCTTAATGGGACAAATGTACCTTATTTGCACCAAAATGGCTCTCAAAGGAATTAATATGCACCTCTTAAAGGTACAAAGTTGTCATTTCAAAGGTGCTGCCCCAGTGTCAAGCTTTTATACACCTAAAGATACAATTTTTGCACTTTTTTTTCTGAAAAGTAAAGTTTAAGGATGCTTCCACTTAAATTGCTTCTAAGAAAGATTGAAAAACGTTTTTCATTTCACTCACATTTGAATTTAGTTACTGGTAACAGACATGATGTTAAAACACGAAATGCTCATTTGCGTTATAATGACAGTTAAATAGTTTAGTGAGAAAAAAAACAACTTATAATAGTGGCAGTTGTAAGTAAATGTAAGACTGTTAGATTGGAGAGTCATACATTATCAACTCTTGCAATGTGACCTAATATTGGTAAGCAGCAAATAACACAATAACTAGTCTGTTCTGCTTATGATTGAGGAATAATGGAAGAACTAATAGTCAGATTTTTTGAACACTGTAGCACAAAGACTGTGGAGTCAATTATGGACCAGCACAGAGAAAAAAGGATGTTTGTGTGTATGGACACCAAAATGAAGTCTTGGAGCTTGTCAAGTCATTTGATCCTAGTCATTAAGCTTTATATATTCTTGAATTCTTCACACTAATGGGTGTAAGATACTGACGGCAAGGATTCTTGTCACCCAAAGAAAACCAAAATACATTCATAGTTTTTCCTCCCATCTTGTTCTCATGCATAATGCTGGTTCCCAATACTGCTTTCTCCCTGAATGCTGACCTGGAAAGCTACAGGTACGTGTCTTCTGAACCCACGCTCTCACATGAGTGACGTATACCAGGAACTCTGGGAGCAGCGACTGAGTTGCCGTTCACAGGTGTGTCGTCTGGAGGAAGCGGAGTGGAGTCTGTAGTGGGTGGAGGATCTGTCAGGTGGGCTGAGTTGTTGGTGTTGCTCGAGAGTGGCTGGACGGTGACTGCAGGGTTGGAGGAGTGAGGGATTTCGGTCGAATGTGCGGGGTTGGGTTTTGGTGAGGGTTGGGGAGACGGTTGAGGTGGTTGTGGATCAGAGGAGGGTCTGTTTTCGGGTGTAGTGAGGTGGGATTGCTGTAGTGATGGAGGAGGATGGTTGGACTGATTGCTTGAGGCTGTCTCTTGTGTTTGATTATTAAGAGCGGCTGGTTTGGGGTCTGCTGACAGGGCATACGGGTTTGGGATGTCCACTGTCGGATTGGGGGCTTTTCGGATAGTGCTTCTCTTCTTGACGCGAGCAAATTCGGATTGAGTGTCTGAGGGCAGGGGGTACTGGACGATGATTGTGGGTTTCTGACGGAGGTCTTGGCGGGTGTGTGGCTCGGCAGACATGATGGCGTGAGCGCCGTGCATTCTGGGAGGGGACTTGTAGCTGAGCTCGCCGTGAATTTTCCGCCAGCGCTTGAGCTGCACGCGGTGCTCTCGCTCCACATCCCGAGAAGATATGGGCAGCTCTAATACCTGCATGTGCAGAAGATATGCTTCATCATCGTCATTATCCTTGTTGTTTTGACCACTACAACTCAACACCAACATCATGCTCATAAACACTTCTACATAATGCAAATAAAGTGCATCAATAAGAAAAGGTTCCTACATAACAATAAAACCTGTTTATTATGAGTTATCGATTTAATATCCAGTAATGCAAAAAAA